ATTACTTGAAATCCTATTCTCTCTTCGTATTTTCAGATTGGCCTAGACTAATAGGTTATAAGCATTGCCTAACAACTCACAAGAAACTATGGACTGGTTTCTGCCTGTAGCTTGTTTTTTTTCCCCACCAGAAATCAACACCTAGGCTATTTCTGATTAGTTACATGGGAACCGATGAAATTCCAGCAAATACATTTATTGTGCTGACAACCCTAAGGGAAGTCTTCCATGAGAGGAAGTTCTGATGGGGGATTAAATTAGTTATCTGCACCTTTAATTGAACACTGGGCATATACAAATATTAAGGCAAATAAACTAAGTCAACATGAATCAGTTAATGCTTTTAGCACCAAGTGTCTATCGAAAGTAAAATAGATTTGCTTTCATTTTCCTTCATGTTATAACCTGGAATTAATACTTTCATCAGCCCTGCCTTCTAAACATTTGAAGAAAAAAAAGTCTTATTTGTGATAACTCTCTGAGTTAACTCATAGAGAACCATTTCTACCAAAACATTTCTTTTCTTGACAAATTCCCTACTAAAACAGCCCTTAATCTTACTAATATTCATTCTCCTTTCACTAACACCTCCTACTATGTGTTTCCTGGAAATAAATCTGCCATTACACTTACGTTTAGTCTTTCTGAAAGATGAGAAAGTCTGCTGTCCCAAGGCAGTCAACCTTCCAGCAGAATTTTCTCTGGGGTTACAACCCCAAAGGTACAGATGCACATTTTAGCTTCAGCTTTTAGCCATCTGACATTGGATCAAAGCAGATGCATCAAAACACTCATGAGAAATTCTAGCTTTTCTTTAGGGGGAGAAAAACACACACCTCTCAAGCAATTAACTTTCTTACAGAAAGACTTCAGAATTGCTCTATTTAGTGATGAACTGTACCGAGTAGCTCCTGGGCAATTCTCATCTCGCTCACAAGGGAATTGCTGCTCTGTGTCTCTATAGCCTTCTGCATGCATCCACTACAATGATGCATCACACCTCTTTCTTTCACGGGCCCCTCATGCCCTTCTCTGGCACCATGAATACATGTGCAAACATCTGCAATTCTCTGTTAAGACTCCTAGCCTGCTCCGCCCCTCACCTCCATGCCATTTTAATCTTTTAAAAGGCAGTCTCCTTCCCAATTCATCCTGTTAAGAAGTAACTGCCCATGCACTGGCTCTTCCTCACCCTTGTTGAAATGATGTTTTCCACTCTATCCTTCACATACTTAGAGCAAGCCTACACAAAAAACACCCAAGTAAAATCTATTTTCTCCACTTCATTATAAACCCATCCTTGAGTTGCCATCTTGACACTGTTAGCTAGTTTCTTTTCCTTTTCTCAGGCTCTAAATAAAAATTCCCAGTACCTTATTTTGCCTTCCTTTCTTTCTATGTCCTTCAATTCTCTGAAATCCCATTTCTTATTACACATTATGCTTATGCTCCTATTCTTTTTAAACTGCCCCCTGGGGAAACTGGTTACCACCCAAGAACCGTGCATTGAATCTAAGTAACTGAAAAAAAAGGAGGAAAACATTTTTACACATAATTGGATTAAAACTCCCTTAAAGTAAAAAATTACTAGACGATTACAAACCTTTAGGAAGTTATTAAATCTCATGCCAATTTTCTTGTTATTACTATTGCTTTCTTTTTTCCTCCAAAGCACTGCCAAATGAGGATAATTCAGCTGAACTGGTTATAAAATAAAGAGGCTAAAAATTACTACAAATTATTACTAAAATTAGTTAATATCATGTTTTCATTTGTTCTAATTGATTGTCACACTAAAAAAATATAATGCAAGTTTAAATGACAGAAACATGTTAAAACCCTATTAAGCAATCTTCACTAGTATTTCATCAGTTAATTCTATTTGATCAGGAATCGGAGCATTTTATAAATACACTTGTGCACTACACAAAACATATATTCAGATTTGACATCCATTTTCTATTCCAGTTTTGAAAGTTTGATCTTTTGCCCAATTTTCTGAGCTATTCACTGCATTTCTGTACAATGTGAATTTAAAAAAATATTGCTAGAGCTTCCCCCCCCCCCCCCAACCATATTTATATTGTAGTTCAAGTACAAAATATTCAGAGTAAATGACTACTAACCTGACTGAAAGGTCTCACTGAAACTGCCACTTTCACACTGTCAGCATTTGGCATTTTTTTTAAGCTTTCATTCAGACATGAATACTCTCAAGGAGAAAAATATCCAAGTGCATGCAACTGCTTCTCTAGAATGACCTGTTTTGAGTTAGAAAAATCATGGCCCCAGAAGAAACTCTTTTATAAGTTTAGTCTGTTACTAATACATTCAGTCATGATGCACAAGGTATCAGTTAAGCAATAAATTATTTCTTAGAGTAACTGTAGTAGTTTTTACTAACTGAAAAGTTTAATGTCAGGTTCAACCATTCTGTAATCTTAAAAGTTGCAACCATATATAAATTAACATACAGAAAAATAATCCATTGTCTAATAGACTGCACATCAAAATAGTACTTCCATGTCTGCTTTTAAAAGAATAGGGTTTTTTAATTTATTTTTACAAATTGAAGCTTTATAGCGACATTTAGTCCATAACCCAAGATTATTAATGTAATAATTTTAACAAAAATATGGTTCTTATGTAAGATTTCTGTACATTTTGGTACCTTTTTCAGACTATTATGTTAGCTTTACCATCAGGTTTTCAGTGTTGTGATATGCAGGGTTCAAATACTGCAAAATATGTTTACAGACAATAATTATTTCAATTATAGTAGCATTCCTATTAACCTTATGAAAATAGTTTTGGCTCAAATTTCAAACTATGTGGGTGATATCCCTTTAAATTTGATATGCTATTGTAAGCATCACACCTATAGAGTTAATTTTTTGCTGACAACAAACTGTAAAAAATAGTGAAGCATCTGAGGTGCAATCTAGTTTTACGAACTAAAGAGCAGCTTTCCCAAAGTTTAAGACAAATACAAAAAATATTGCACAGCTTAAAATACAACTGTTTACATTCTGACTTCAACACAGTACAACTTAACTGTGAATGTAAAGAATTACCAGTTTGTATTGCGAGCCCAATTATTTGTGCCAGAAGGTCAAACATCATATATAAAATTTAAACTAGTATGTTTTAAATGTTTACTTGTTGTAGGAATTCTAAGCGAAGCTTTTGGCCTCACTTTTGAGCATCTGCAACTCTTGCAAACCAACATTAAAATTTCTGAGCAATACAGGCCATTCAACCCACTATTCCCTCAAAAAGCTATCAGACAGTAAGCATATTGTGAAGTATACATTTTTATTTAACATTCCTAAAATAAGCTGTATTTACATATTATATAAATGTATGAAGTCTTAATATAAAATAGAAAACTGCATTGACTGAAGAAATCACACTCCATATGGAGTTACTTACTGAAGACCATTTGTTTATGAAATTTTACAATAATTTATATAAATTATCTCTTCCAAATTAGGTGATTTTTTTTTTTTTTTACTAACCCCCACAATTTTGATGACTTTACAAACAGTGGTGTACAGTATAAACTTAAAAAACAGTTACAGCATCTTCCGGCGCCCAACTGGCTTTGGAAAATTAGACAGTCTTTTTTTGTTCTTTCGTAGCATCTTCTCTGCAGCATCAGCGGTTTCTTGCTGCTTGCTTTTTGTTCCATCCACTGGACTTCCAAAAGGAGAGATGAATTTTATTTCCACTGGTGGAGGTGACCAAGAACCTTCTTTTCTTGTGGTTCTGATAAGAAAGAGAAGTATCAAATTGATTTTTTTATTACCAACAGTATTTAGTAGAGGAAAAAAACCCCATGGAATTACAAAATCCATGCCAAAGGATTATTTATGGGCTTCTTTGTAGACAGGATCAAGGCAGAAAAAGTACATAAATAAGCATCCGTTTGCTTTCATTCCTTACCAACTGTCCCAAGCATTCTCAGTCACTATTCGTACAAGCTTTTACAGGCCCCCACCCCAGCTTTTAAGAGGCAAATGCCCTCAAACAGTTTTCCAGAAGTAACCAGAGAACATGTCCGGAGACAAGAAGTTCTCTCTACTCATTGTCTGACCCTCTCCTGCCTTGTATGGGGAACAAAAGACCATAAGAGTGTGGCTTCATAAGGTGGAATAAGATAGCGTAAGAGCATGCCATCATTGCAAAGATTAGTATCCACTTGCCCTTTTCCATTCCCTTTCTCTTCTGCTTCCATTAGAAAACTAAATCGTTAAGTGGGGAAAAAGGTGCCTATTAGACCAGTAAGCTTGACATACTCATAAAGTCAGAGCAGAACTGCACAGCCAAGAAAGGAAGAGGAAGTTAGGTGGCTAACAGCAGAATCACTACCACAATAAAGGAATGCAAGTAAGTGTTGAAAAAAAATTTCGTACTTGCTTGTTTTTTTCATTTTTGATTTTGCAGCTCTACCTCTCTTCAATTTTTGCTTTCCCACAGACTCTATGGATTTGGTATCCTCTTCCTCTTTAGTTGGAAGCTCCTGTGTTAAGGCAACAAAAACATTAACCATGCACAAGTTCTTACACTTCTACGGAATACAAATGAATGTTTTTTTCGTGAAGTAATCAAGCCAAAGTTATTTCCAAAAGCATTACAGTTTCTCCCCGCAAAAACCTGCCATCTCAAATAACTGTACCAACCTCAAAGGTCCATGCAGATATTACCAGATAACACAACAAGTATGTTTAAAGAAAGCCACTGTGGCTTTTGTTAAAGACAAAGCAGTACTTATTAATCCTTGACTTACATAGATTCAAAATTGATTTCTGTAGCTAGTTTTCATGAAGAAAAAAAAAATAAACTGTTTAGCTGATTAATTTAAAGCTCTCTTTTTAGATATACTTTCCAGGAAAAAGGCAAGGGATAGCAAAGTATGATTTGAAAAAGCAGTACAGAGCAAAAAACAAAAACGTGAAACAACTAGACTTTTTACTTACTGGTTCTTTCACAATTTGGGAAATACTAGATTCATTTTTTCTCCTTGACCTCAACAGAGGGGGTGAAAAGACAAATTGAGAAGACAAGTCCGGGTCTATATCCTTAAGCTGCACAGGATGGTCTTCTTTTCCAGCTAAAATGACAATGCATTCTTAACATTCATGTACATTATACATAAACGACAGTGACATTAAATTACAGCTAATAATCAAAAGCACAACAGATTCCTGAAATAAAAGGTCCAATTGGGTTTATAAAAAATGTGCAGGTATTCTTCGCCTAGTAACTGCCTCTTGAGATCCATTCTTTTACAGTAAATAGTGAAACAAAAATAAGCCAGTGTAGCGATTTTACCTGCACTTACATAATGAAAGATACTATGCTCAAGAGGCATCGACAGTCCTTACACATCTCAAAAACTATTTTTTTACCATGTACTCCAATACAAAGAACCCCATGAGCAGTAACTTCACTAACAAAGTATATGCCCATGAAAAACAACCATATAACTAAACAGCTGTATAGTTTATTGCAAGTTGCAGCTCATGTTAAGTTAAAACATTAACAGAATTTGAAAGCATGTCTCCTTTATTTCTCCACTGGAGGGAAGTGATGACAACCACATATTAAGATATACCCTCCAGTTTTCAAAACAGATAGACATTCAGCTCATGACAAAAAATTAAGCTTAAATTTCATTTCAGTGTACTCAGATCAGCCTCCTCTCCTGTCTCCACCACAACTAGCCAGGCAGTCATAGAGAGTTCAGAAAAAAGATGAAATGCCTCTTTCCCAATTTTTTATTTCCTACGGTTATATTCTTACCATACTTGAAGCCATCCTCACAAGCTGTTTTCTGTGGTTTACAAAACAGCAATATGCCCTATTTTGCATATAAACATTGTGCACCTACCTTTAAATTTCTTTGTCAGCTTTGTGAGAGGAGGAGAGAAAAGGAAGGACTCATTTTCCTCAAGAGACAGTTTCTGATGCATACAAGTTTTACGGGATCTGGCTCTTGTAATACGATCTGTTAAAGTTCTTGATGTTTCGGCATGTCCTGATGGGTGTCTGTCTTCAGGCAGCAAAGGACTGCCACCAGGTCCCTGGGGGAAGGCCTCCTCCCCTGTGCTCTCCTCCAATACTAATCGTCTCTTTCTGCCCCGACGCCCTGTTCCTACTGTAGTCCTGGGTGTGCTTGATTCCTCGTTTGGCTGGGCAGCTCTTTGCTCAGGAGCATCCGTTTTTTCTAGTTTAGCATGTGGGACTC